CGAGTTCAAAGGTCGCAAAATTACCCTCCTACCTCTCACGCCTACCGAGATTTATCAAGATCAAATTCAAATGAAGCTCAAGGAGAAGGAGAAAGTCGCCAACAGCCTCTACATAAACCACAGTGAATTTTCTAAACTCTTTGATCCTGAAATGACTACTTTTATGTTTGTGTACAAGGAATCCCTTGTTAGTACTAACCCTTCACAGGAGCTTCCTAGTGCTATGTTTGAGATTTTGCAGGAATACAAGGACGTTTTTCCAGTAGAAATTCCACCAGGGCTACCTCCAATTCACGGGATAGAGCATCAGATTGACTTGGTACCAGGATCAGCCTTACCTAACAGGCCAGCATACCGAACCAATCCTGTAGAGACTAAGGAGCTGCAGAAGCAAGTGGAAGAGCTGATGAGCAAGGGACATATCCGAGAAAGCTTGAGTCCATGTGCGGTTCCAGTTCTGTTGGTGCCAAAGAAAGATGGTTCCTGGAGGATGTGTGTAGACTGCCGAGCTATCAACAACATCACTGTGAAGTATCGGCATCCGATTCCAAGACTAGATGATATGCTGGATGAGCTCTGTGGATCGACAATCTTCTCGAAGATAGATTTGAAGAGTGGGTATCATCAGATCAGAATGAAGGAAGGGGACGAATGGAAGACGGCGTTCAAGACAAAGCAAGGACTCTACGAGTGGCTAGTTATGCCGTTTGGTCTCACCAATGCTCCCAGCACCTTCATGAGATTAATGAACCATGCCCTGAGACCATTCATTGGCGTGTTCGTCGTGGTGTATTTCGACGATATCCTTATCTACAGTAAAGGTTTGGAAGAACATCTAGATCACATCAGATCGGTTCTTGATGTTCTTCGCTCTCAATCTCTCTTTGCTAATTTATCTAAATGTTCATTCTGCACTAACGAAATTGTTTTCTTAGGCTTTGTAGTAAGTGCAGGAGGAGTTAAAGTAGATGAAGAGAAGATAAAAGCTATCAAGGAGTGGCCAACCCCCAAGAATATTGGAGAAGTCCGAAGTTTCCATGGCTTAGCAGGATTCTACAGGCGTTTTGTTCGTGATTTCAGCACTATAGCCGCGCCCTTAACCGAAGTCATCAAGAAAGACGTGGGGTTCAAGTGGGGAGAGGCGCAAGAACAGGCTTTTACAGCCCTTAAAGAGAAGCTTATCAATTCGCCCTTATTAGTACTTCCTGACTTTACCAAGACTTTTGAGATTGAATGCGATGCTTCTGGTGTAGGTATTGGAGCAGTTCTTATGCAGGATAAGAAGCCCGTCGCTTACTTCAGCGAAAAATTAGGAGGATCAACGCTGAATTATCCCACGTATGACAAGGAGTTATACGCATTGGTTCGAGCTCTCCAGACGTGGCAGCATTACCTATGGCCTAAGGAATTCGTCATTCATACCGATCACGAGTCTCTAAAGCACCTCAAGGGTCAGCAGAAGCTTAACAAAAGACATGGGCGATGGATGGAGTTCATTGAGACATTCCCCTACATTGTTAAGTACAAAAAAGGTAAAGATAATGTGGTCGCAGACGCATTATCTCGGAGGTACACTCTTATTTCTACCTTAACGTCAAAGTTGATTGGATTTGAGCACATTATAGATCTTTATGAATCTGATACTGACTTTTCTGAGAGCTATGCCAAATGTCATAAGTTTGCCTGTGAGAAATTTTATAGACAGGATGGATACTTGTTCTTCAGTAACCGATTGTGCATACCACGAGGATCTATTCGAGAGTTACTGGTACGAGAAGCTCATGGAGGTGGATTAGCTGGACATTTCGGTGTCACAAAGACACTTCTTGGGCTACAAGAGCACTTCTACTGGCCGAACATGAAGAAAGACGTTGAGAAAATCTGCTCTAGATGTGTTGTATGTAAGATGGCTAAGAGTAAAGTTCAACCTCACGGTTTGTATACTCCTTTGCCTATTCCTTCTCAACCTTGGACTAATATCGCTATGGATTTTGTAGTTGGCTTACCTCGAACCAGAAATGGTAGAGATTCTATTTTTGTGGTTGTTGACAGGTTTAGCAAGATGGCTCACTTCATCGCTAGCCACAAGACAGATGATGCTGTGAATGTAGCTAACTTGTTTTTCAGGGAAGTAGTACGACTGCATGGAATGCCACAGGTTATCGTTTCAGATCGAGACACGAAGTTCTTAGGACATTTTTGGCGAACGCTTTGGGCTAAGCTGGGAACAAAGCTCTCATTCTCGACTACGTGTCATCCTCAGACCGATGGACAGACCGAGGTGGTGAATAGAACGTTGTCCACACTTCTAAGGACTTTGGTGAAAAGTAACCTCAAGACATGGGAAGAGTGCCTGCCTCATGTCGAGTTTGCTTACAATCACGCTAAGCATTCTGCTACTCTCTTTTCTCCTTTTGAAATTGTATATGGGTTTAATCCACAATCACCTCTAGACTTGATCCCTTTGCCTTTAAGTGGACAATGCAGTTTGAATGGCAAGGAGAAAGCTGAACAGGTCCGAAGAATACATGCTAAGGCTAAGGAGAACATCGAGAAGAAGACAAAGCAGTATGAGAAGCATGCCAACAAAGGACGAAAGGAGCTGATTTTCGAAGAAGGAGATCTGGTGTGGATCCATCTGAGGAAGGAGCGATTTCCAGCTGAGCGAAAGAACAAGCTAATGCCTCAAAAGGATCAACAACAACGCCTATCAGATTGATCTTCAAGGTAAGTATGACGTTTCTGATGCTTTCAATGTTTCTGACTTGCTTCCTTATGTTGCAGATTCAGATTTGAGGACAAATCCTTTTCAAGAGGGAGAGGATGATATGATCGTGACCAGCTCAGAGGAGGAGGAACCAGAGGTAGCTGGCAGGATCACTCGTTCCAGAGCTAGAGAGATGGCTAAGGAGGCTCACGCACTCATTGCCACAGAGGACAGCGATCACCAGGAGGCTGGAGCTCACATCTTCAACATCTCTATCTTGAAGACTGAAGAACCCAGTAACAATGACTAGGTAACTTAGGTGATGATTCTGTACTCTTTTCCTTGGTGAAGATTTTGGAAGGCAAGGAGGTTCTTCTCCAAGGTTTTTAACGAGGCAGAAATCATTGCTACGTCGAGTTACTTAGAAGTTGTTACTAATGGGTAATAATGTGCAAAGTCACAATGACTTGTACACTTAGTATTTTGGCGCACCACTTAGGATTTTAGGGACGCCTCGCTGTTTTATTTTTAAATCACACTTCTTGTTGTTTTTATTTCAGACTTCATGTAGTTTGTTTCTTAGGGCTGCGATTTCTCTCTAAGTCTATTTAAGAGAGAAAATCGCCTAAGTATTATTCAGTGAAGAATTTTGATCAAACTTTTAACGTGTTCTTCTCTCTTTTTGATTTCTGAGAACTAAAAACTCTGAAATTCGAATCTCTTAAAAACTAATCTGTTTACAAGAGATTCTTCTATCTTATCATCTCACCATCATCACCATCGATCCGCCGAGCCACCATCATCACCATCGATCCGCCGAGCCACCATCATCACCATCGATCCGCCGAGCCACCATCATCTCCATCGATCCGCCACACCACCATCGCACATCCACGATTCGATCTGCCGAGTCTCCACCATCATCCCTCATCGTCGCGAGCCATCCTCGTATCACTACCACCATCCTTTTCGCTTCATCGTTTCAGTCTATCCACCATATCGCCGCATCTATTGTTCTTTGCTTCAGAGTAGATCACCTTGGATCGTATCACTAGGGGAGCCGAATATGATTAGGGTTTTATCTAGGGTTTTAACGGTTTGGAAAACATATTTTGGATGTGATTTCGAGATCTATAGGATCTGTGGTCGATGGTTTTAATAATTTCACAAGGACAACAAAGAAATCACGTGAAAAGGACTAGGGTTTAAGCATTATGACTTACGATTTTGAAGATTACAAAATCGTGAATCAAGCTTAGGATTTAGGGTTGATTTTCTTAGTTTATTCAATCAAGTGTTTCAAGCAAGAGAATCAACAATCAAATAAGCTGCAACAAGCTTATTAAACATGAAGAAAATCGAATAGGTTTATGCCATAAACATGGCCAAAAACGGTTGTTAGGTTTTTGTAGATTAGGGTTTTATAAAACGAGTTTAAAACCTTTGAACATGCATAAACTTGTAATTTAAACAATCAATCAACAAGTTATCAATCAATCATCAGAGTATCAAACACTTTCAATCAATTAGAGATCGATTTTTTTTTTTTTTTTTTTTATAGGGTTTTGAAGTGTTTAAACAACAGGTTCTATGGCTTTCAGTTTTAGAAGATACCTTTTCCACCTTTGGATTTCTGACAGGCTAATGAAACTGGGAGCTAATAGACCTCAGTTAGCCGCTACAAATTCCAAGGATTGATCACCAAAACTGGAGAAGCTGCTGGTTGAAGAAGGAAAAACTCGGATCTGGTTTTTTTTTTTTTTTTTTTTTCGGTTGATCGTCGTGTACTGTAAGTGTGCGTGAGGGCGCGTCCGACGTTGGATCGACAAACGGTTTTCACCAGTAGATTCGTCTCGTCGAGGGCTTCGATTTGATATGTAGATCGTCTTCTAGTTCCTCACGGTTTGGAAGATATGCGTCTTTTAAGTTTCGACTTGCTTTTAGGGTTTTGGTGGTGGCCGGATTTATTAGGGTTTTTCGCTCAGAGAGTCTTATCGTGCTGATAACGTGTTGTGAAAATTTAGATACTTTATTAATCACTGGAATGTATATATAAAGTACATAGGGAATCTAGGTTAAGTACAATGCCCTGATGGGCCTAATGGGCCAGTATAAGAGTCCATATATGATATGTGTTATAACACACACATTTATTTTTCGTCAAAGAGAAATATACACACATTTATCATTATTGAACACGTGTCCACCATGCATCTACCATTAGTTTGTTAAATATTCTAGTCTCTTCGACTCTTTGCAACATATACAAATACAGCGTATCACAATCATAGATTGCAGGGAAAACATGGAAGAAACAAAGTCGGTTTGTTTCAGGTCTGGAGTATTGTTGCAGGACTGGATAACATTCAAAGCATTGGCTTTGGAAGATAACAGCTGGTAATTAGTTCCTATTCTGCCGCATTTTTGTGGGATATACTGAGATGTGAATAAACTTTTGATTTCTCAAACAATAAATCTTTAGAGTTAGCTTCTAATTTTGTGTACTTTGCTTAATTGCTTGGCCAGGATGATGAACGAGATAGCCGACGAGAAATATCGTCGTCTCTTGAGCCAACTTATCAACTCTTGTAGTACACCTAATATCTTAACGGTGCGTGCTCTTATCTGAAGGCATAGATGAAGTGTTTTAGGTTTAGGCATTCCGTTTTTCTGTTTCGGGTTGCGTTTATTACCAAAATTTATTTTAATTCAGTTCGGTTTGAGATTTTTGTAGTTCAAGTGTTGGTTTTGAATACGATATTTAATAAATTTAATAAAATAAAAATAAGTCATAACTTAATATATATAAACGTTTTGTATATCTAAATGTTTTTTATTTGTTGCGCCATATATGTTTGAGTTAGCTAGGTTCGCCTTTCGGTTTCAGTTTGGTAATTTTCATCTGTTTACAAGATTAGTTTTATTGTTTTTTTTTGGTTCCACAAAAATGGAATTTCTTAGCTTTGATCTGTACATTTTATTTAACACGCTTTAAACAATTGAATTCTATAATTATATTGATTCATAATAATTTATTAAAAATTGCTTTATAAAAATGATGCAAATATTATGAAGTACTTCTTAATATGTCTGAAATATCTTTAAAAATCACTTCTATATTAGCAACATAGGGAGTACGTATAATAATTTCGTTACCGTTCGGGTTTAAATTAAATTTGATATCGGTTAGATGAATTTTGGTTTGGTACGCTTTGAGAATTCAAAAAAACTTAGAAAAGCTTCCTATAAATTAGTTACGTCAATACACGACTGATATGTGTATTTCTATTCTAATTGTAGAATTTGGTAACCCTTATTGTTGAGAAAGCTATCCTTGAGCCGACCTTTTGCCCTATGTACGCTAAACTATGCTCTGATCTCCATGACAAGCTGCCTAAGTTTCTACGTGAGCTTGGGGCTGATAAGGCAACTGAGAAGATCACATTCCAGAAGCTAGTGTTGAATCAATGTCAAAAGTTGTTCGAGGGAGCTGAAGGGCATAGTGAAGAGCTTAGAAAGATGAACGCACCAAATGAGAAGACAGAACGGAAGGAGAAGGAAAGATTGTTGAATCTCCGGGCTCTAGGAAATCTTCGTTTGATTGGTGAGCTTCTAAAGCAGAAGATGGTTCCACAAAGGATTGCTCACCACATTGTTCAGGTGAAGTAACCTACACTTATAAGCTTACACATTTTTGATTTAACTATTGCGCTGGTGTGTTTATGTTAACTCTTATTATACAGGAGCTTTTGGGGAATGATAAGAAAATGTGTCCATCAGAGGAAAATGTTGAAGCTGTTTGCCTCTTTCTGAAAACTGTCGGCAAAGAACTTGATGGGTCAAGTTTATATTCAAAAGTGATAAACGATATCCATTTCAGACGTTTAAAGAATCTGTCGAATCATTCTGAGTTAGTTATGCGACGGAGATGTATGATTCGGAATCTCATCCATCTGCGCTCCAATGGCTGGAAGGAAGTGGTCTCCTTGAAAAACATCATTATTAGTGCTTAAGCTTTCTGAGTTGCGAATTTAGATTTTTTTTTTTTTTTTTGCTCTTTACATCTTCTTTGTTATTGTGCTTTGTCCGAGACAAATGGGAGTCGAGCATTTTGGGATTTATTTTTCAACCTAGAGTCATCTCGTGCCTTAGTATTTGGTTTCAATAACGAAATTTAAAAATACAGAAAAATTCCACAATTATTCATCATGCATATTACGTACTTTTAACTATTAATTAGAGAAAAAAAAATTATTGCCTTAAGTGAGTCAACTAGTTTATGTTATTTAAAAAAAAAAAAATAGAAATATATACATACATCACAAACTTGATCAGACAAAGTTTTTTAATATATATTGTTTATTTCCACAACCAAAATTTATACAAATCTAATTTAAAAAAGTTTATAAAAAGATCATGTTAAAAACAGAAAAAAATATATCTTGATTTTAGGATAGAAAAATCTATTATACTAACAGTAAAACGGGTTAATATATATTAGTATAAAAAAATAAAATGTGAGAAAAATTGTAAAACTCAAATCACAAGGTATATTCACAAGTTGCAACATATATGATCGGATTTGGGCCAAACTCATTAAAACATTTGTCTTGCCTCCCAATTTTTTTTAATCCAGTTTAGTCCATAAAAAAAATTAATTTAATTTTTTTTTTATAAAACCAATTAGAAGCTCCCATTTTTATATTTGTTTCAGACCCCTAAAATCCCAGATCCGGCCCTGACAACACATCATAATTTTTTATTTTTTATTTTTTACTTACGTAAAATCTATTTTGATATATAGTAATATAAAAAAAAATAAAATGTGAGCGAAATTGTAAAGCTCAAGCCACAAAGTATATTCACAAGTCGCAACGTATCATAATTATTTTCATTTCTACTTACGTAAAATCCATTTAAGACGTTTGAGTATTATGGTAGATATATGCATTAGTCCTTTTTTTCCAACATAAGCACTAAAAAGTTCTAACGATATATATAAAAGCACAACCTTTATCACCTCAAATCTCCTTTTATTATTAATTTATCATTGATTAAATACTGTGAAACTGGACTGATGAAGATGATGATAACAATAAATACCTACCAAAGGAATATATTTTAATTAAGGGAGAAGATAGTCTAAAGATTCTTAATTAGAAGCACATAAGTTTTAACTAATCGTACCTCATCTTATATTTTATTTATTGTTTGGTTTGATGTTAATCTATCTTATTGTTTATTATATTTTGAAGGTGAAGGTTAAAGCAGTCATAGTCCATTTTCCTACACTCTAGTTAGGCTTAGATAATATAGATATTATCTATATTAGGAGAGAATCAGTGCATAGGCGCAGATTTTATTTTAATTTATATTTAAATAATATATTTTTAGAATTTATGTTAAATTTTATTTTTACTATCAAGTTTTTGCGTTTAAAATATTTATATTTTTTGATATTGTTTTTTGAAGATATCTTATTTGTAATCTCTTCTACACCAGTTGGACTAAATAGTCCAATTTTTCTTCCACGATAATAAAGGACTAAACATCTACTATTTTAATTTCTGTATGAAAATATAATCATTCACATAAAAATTTACGTTGAATACCAGAGAAGAATATTTATTTGTTCTTCCATCTTCATATTTTTTTTATTCTTGTAAATCTTACTAATATAATATTTATCAACTTTTTCAATTTACAGTTTTGAGTTTTTTGGTTATATCTATTTTATTGATTCCATCTTTTTATTTATTTTTTTAAAATTTATGTATGACATTTTTATGTAATCACTCTTTTTTATTATTATTTTTTAATAATTTTTATCTCTTTAATCGTTTATTGAATATTTTTTGTGTGTTTATAACTTTATTAGTTGAAGTTTTATATAAGATTATTTAAAGATTCTTAACTTATTCAGTTCTATAATTTTTTTCCACTTGAAAAAAAATAATTAATATTTTTAATTTAAAAATAAAGTTTAAATCACTTGAAAAAGAAAATATAACGGTGCATTTAAAAGTTTTGATATATTTAAATTAAATCTGAATTTTATTTATTTAAATAAATTTATATATATATATATTAATATTTATTTATGTTTTTAAATGTGTTTTCTTTAAATTTAATTAATTATTTATTTTATTAAATTTTTATAAATAAGTTTATTAATAGACATGTGTCACTCTCTCCATTACTGATGTGACATTTAACTGGAGAGAGTTAAACAACTTTTATATATGAGTTTCTCTAGTGATTGATGTAGCTTGTATGATGATTTAACTTTGTCGAAGCCAATAAGTTATAACAGTTCTCTGAAGTTCGTTAGTGAGATATTATTACGAATGTTAGTTTTTGAATGTTAAAATTATAAGGAATGTGGTCATAAATATATAAATAGAAATATTTTACAGCTTAATTAAAAAATACATAAAGACAAATTGACGGTAAACATTTAACAGTGTGGATGGTTTCACTAAGACATACATTTCGCAGTTTGTTTTTACTACTATTTCTTTTAAAAAATGTTAGGACTTTGACGATAGAAAACAAACTGAAAATAAATATTTAACATTGTGGTTGGATTCACTAAGAAATACACTTAATAGTTTGTTTTTAATTCTTTTTGTTTTTCAATTGTTAGGGGTTTTAGTTGCTGAAAGAACAATTTTACTTTTTCACAAAAAAAAAAAGCTTAATTACAATCATATATAACTATAAATCCAACCAATAAAATATATGCGTATATATCTTAGACCATGATCATTAGTGAACTCCTCTTAGAGGGGTTCATCCTGAATTAAAAAAAAAATATACTTTTTTTTGAAATTCGAAAATTAAAAAAAAAATTCGTCCAATCATATTGTGCCACCTGGATAAAAGTTGTGCCACCTAAATAAGAGTTGGGGTCTTCAGATTCATTCTGATGAACCGATCCTTTATAATTGAGTTTTTTTTTTAAGAAAAATTTAAAATGCTTATGAACTCGAGCTATGAACTCCTAATGGACATACTCTTATAGTATATGGCTATATAGTATATAGCCATATATTTATATAGAAACATTTTTTTTCCCAGAATTATTTTTTTTTCCCAGAATTATTACAGAGTCAAAGTTTCAAACATTTTATGGTCTAGTTAACGATAACTGAAGTTGGCGTCCACAATCAGACAAAAACCAAGTGTTCCACGAATCTTAACAGAATTTTCTCTTAAGACAGTATTTCAGGGGCAAAGGTATAAATTGTCAAGCTTTTTTATATTTTAAAAAAGGGTTTAATGTAAAAAACCCATAATCTTTAATTTTTTTGCAAGAATATCCATCATTTCTAGAAAATGCAAGTTAATTCCGCCACCTACAAATTCACCTGCAAAACAGTCCAAACCTATATCGATGACGTGGCAATATGAGATTCTGTGAAAAATACAGACGAAAATTAAAACGCAGCGTTTGTCGAAGTAAAACAGCAAGATGTTTTGATATGTGTTGTTGTTTTTTAACAAAGAAAATGGCATGATGTTTTTTTTAATTGAGATTGGTCGAGCAGATTCTCTGTAGCTCACAAGGGCGAGATCGATTGGGACCACTCCTCAGGTGACGCCGAGGAGATCTGTTCTGTTCTACGGCATCTCCTCCTCTGACTGTAACAGACTTTGAGATTCCAGTTTCAGATGCGCTAGCCGTTCATGTAGCATCCTGGATTCAATTAAACAAGACGTATTATGGTGGTAATGGGGAGCAAAGATGAACTTTCATTCATTTTTTCTAGTTTGTAATCAAATTTGATTGGTGGATTTGAGCTTAATTTATGGGTTTATGAGTTAGATTTCTGGATTAGATTTTTAGATTTGATTTCTAGGTTTGATATCTAGGTTTGAATTATGAGTTTGATTTCTGAGTTCAAATTATGAGTTTGATTTCTGATGGATTGAAGTTTGATTTCTGATGGATTGGAGTTTAATTTCTCGGTTGCAATTAGCGAAGAAGAAGAAAAAATTTAATGACTCACGAGAAGAAGAAGAAAAGTTTATTTCCTATTTTTTTTAATCAAACCATCGTATACCAGTTGAATACCAGCATTATAAAATATAATTTATTTTTAAATTATTTTTAAATAAAAAAACGAGAAAATACTCAATCACCTTTAAAACATCATAATATTTACTAATCCAATCAGTCATAGGTCAAATATCCACACCCAATTAGTTATACTAGATTCGATTTCGGGTCTAAATTTGAATAACCCTAAATTCGAATGTAAATCATTTCTGAGAAATTCGTTCCATTAGGTACAACTACGAGGATACTACGAAAAGTCTTCGATTTCTTTCTAAACTGGTCACAATTCCATTTATTCTCTTCAAATTCGCATCAAGTTCGTTCTTCGTTTTTCTTCGTTTTTGCTGTTTTACTGTAAGCTATTAGGCAGAAGGCTTACGAATGAATCTGTAGTATCTGATACCTGGGTTTAGGAACGAGGAACTGAAATTAGTATTACCTGCAAAATTTGATTGATGTGTGGATCCCGGTGATAACTAAATGTGTTTTAACTTCTTAGAAATACTGTAATGACATCATTCGGAGGAGATAGTGAGTCACTTCAATTAACGTTGTGGGAGCCATTACGCTTTTGTAGTGAGGTTGAGGAGCAAACGCGTAATGAGCAAACGCGTAATGAGCAAACGCGTAATGAGCAAACGCGTAATGAGCAAACGCGTAATGATGAGGAAAACCAGCCGCCAATGCAACCGCTGAGTATGTATTTTAGTCCAAATCAGTACAACAAGGCAATAAAGTTAGGTACTCAGTGTTGGATCCACAAAGCAGTGAAGAATCTGGAGTCACCGTCACTGGGACTGAGACCCGAGGAGCTAAGATGGTTTAGCGAACATCTTCAATTCAAGCACTTCTGGCATATGCACAAAGCCATGTATTTGGATACAACCCATAAGACTCAGGGGTTGTGGATGCTACTGCTTTACACAGCAAAGACAAACAAGAGGAGAGAGTGTTGGTTTGTTGTTAATGGAGTTCCAATTCGGTATTCGCTTAAGGAACATGCACTCATATCTGGATTAGACTGCCATGATTGTCCAAAGAATTATGAGAAAATGGGCAGTAGTGTTTTACGGAGAAGTATTTTAAGAAAGGAACTGTCCCTGCACTTGCTGTTGTTAAAGAGAAGCTTGAAAAGATGCGTGGTGGTCCTGATCGCTTAAGAATGTGTGTTTTGTACTTTCTAGCAAGCGTGTTAGGTGGTAAGGCTAAGACTGGGAAGGGAGCTCCCTCGGTAGACCCTTTATTCTTGAGGATGGTAGAAGATCTCGATGCGTGTAGAACATTTCCTTGGGGGAAGTATTCATTTGATGCGAATCTAAAGGAAATTGAACATACATTGAGGCACTTCAATGGGGTCGTCGAAACCGATTCTTGGACATTTCCTGGCTTTGTTATTCCCTTGGAGTTGCTACCTTTTGAAGCAGTACCTTGTCTGAAGGACACATACAGAGAAAAAGCTAAAGGAGCAGACATAGAGTGTCCTCAGATGTGTAAGACAAAGTTCAGACCATTCACTCTCAAAGGATTTCCTCTGTCGGACCTCTACGAAACACTCGGTAATACCAAAGATATCCAGAGTATCTTGGAACCATCTGCTGATGAGGAAGATATGTTAGCTGGTATCATGGAAAGGTATGAAGACCCAGATAACAATGATACAATTCCTGATACTTGGACGAGTCGTATAATTGATGATGGGAAGCCGATATTCTGGAAGGATATGAGCTTGGAGGATGTAAAAAACCGAGTTGAACCAGCGAAGAATGCCTCCTCTAAATCTCCAGCGCCGAGTGGGATTGTGGACCAGATTCAAGGGTTGAAGAAGAGTATGGATGAGCAGTTCCAACTAATGAGAGACCAAATCAATGACATGGATATTAGATTGAAGTCCGTTGAATCTTATGTGAAAGAGGCAATTCGAAGTGAATGTCTTGGAGAAGAGAAGGAAGGAGAAGAACAAGGTGATGAAGGAGAAGAACAAGGTGATGAAGGAGAAGAGGGAGAAGAAGGAAAAAAAGGAGAAGAAGAGAATGAAGAAAAAGTTAAGAGAATGAAGAAGTTGGAGGAGAGGTTGCAAAGAAGGAAAAGAAGAAGACGAAGACGAAGGCAGCGGTTGTCAGAAAGTATTTGACCAGACAACTGTCTGGAATTCAGGTATTATTTGGTACTTATAGATATTATTTGGTAGTAATAGGTATTAGTTGATACTAATAGGTAGAACTATAACATAAACCACATATCTTTGTTACCATGTAGGAACAATCTGGTGTTTCAGTCGAGGAAGGGGAGGTGCAGCATGAGAAGAAGAAGAAGAAGAGTAGGAATTAACAGTCCCAGATGTTCACTCTTTCATGCTGTCGATTTGAATTTATGGTTTTTTTAAGAACTAAATTGTGGGATCGTGTTGTTTGCAAAATTTAAATTTATTTTGAGGATATTGGTTTGCTATTGTTATAAGAATCGGTTTATATTTAATTAGAGGATTTCAGTTTGGTATTAGTCGGTTTAAAATATTGTTTCTCTTTGGTTGTCGGGTAACTGTCTTGTCGTTATTAAATTATGTTATCTAAAAGGAAACGACGCGTGTGGGAATAAAGAAAGGTAGCATTTGTATAGTGAGAGAAATCCCATAGTGAGACGACGCCATTAATGCATGTCACCGCTTAACTTCTTCTTCTATAAATACCACACCCTCGCCTTCTCATAACACCATCGCAGAGAAAGAAACATTCCCTAAACGTAAAAAAAATAAATCTTATCTTTCCCTTTGCTAACTCAAAACCCTAAGATCCCCAAATGGCCCACTTTGCTCACAACATTCGTCTGGCGTCATCAACATGTCCCGAGTACTGGATGCGCCGATACCTGCTTGACCTCCAGCGAAACCCGTCGCCCATATACTCCGCCGGGGTGGAGGCGGAGGACGTGTATGTGTGGACGGCGACCATCACTGGTCCGCCGGGAACTCCCTACGAAAGGGGTGTCTTCTTTCTCCGCATCATTTTCCCTCCGGATTTCCCCTAGAGGCCACCGAAGGTGCACTTCCGGACCCTCATCTTCCACCCCAATGTGAGCCATCGTGGCAACATCTTCCATCTGATGCTCATGCCTGATACGTGGTGCATCGCGACATCTGTGGCCCATGCTGATGAGTCTGGCCCAGATGCTATTGCATCCGCTGGTGGCGGAAGGCGACGTCGTGAGGGAGGAGGTGGCGGTGATGTACCGGGAAGACAGGACAAGCTACGAGGAACTCGCACGTAGCTTCACCAAGATCCACGCCATGGATGGTTAACATAACATCCATGGCGGAAAAGACTCTAAATAATTGTGTTTTTTTTATGTTTGTTTTTAGTTTTCGTTGAACTTATTATTATGTTTTCTGTATGTTTATATTATGTTTTTATTTGGTTATTAATATTATTATGTGTTTTTTGTGATTAATGGAAATATTTCACAAACTTTTGGGTCTCGTAACGTTGACATTTTAATAACCTACATGCAACCCTGACATCTGATAAGACTTGGTAGTTGGACCAGTTTTACATCGAGAATCCGCACTCATTTATAGCCCCATTTATACTGGTTACGCGTGAAGACGTCATCAAACAGACGCTTTTTTTTTATTCATAATGGATAAGCGTAAATCACGGGAATTTATTATCTTATTTAAAGTAATTATTCTTTAAAAATATTTTTTTTAAATAACTGAGGATAAACCAAAAATTACAAACGAAGATATCCAAAATTCTAAAATCAAAAACTGAAAACCAAAAACCAAATGTGAAAAACTGAATACAAAAACCTACATCGTCTTTGCATCCTACAAAGCCTAATTTTGTTCAGGCAAAAAAAAACAAGATTACAAGTATAAGCATGAGCAATCAACGCCAATCAACGCTTTACACTTGTAATCATGTTTTTCTTGCCTGAACAAAGATTAAACCTTGTACTTCCAAGTCTGCAACATCAGGTGACCAAACTCGCTGACCAAACTCTGACTCGCTGATCTGACTCTTCATCAAGTGAAATATCCTTTCTTCTTGCTTTTATGGTGTAAGTACGATGGGTATTTCATCTGATGAAGAGTCTGAAATCAGCGAGTAAGAGATTGTCGATTATTTTCAGGTTTATGTGTTTTTGAAGGACGATATTTCTCCAGGGTAATATCTGACTCCATGATCTGACTCTTCATCAGATGAAATACCCATCCTTCTTGCTTTTAAGGTGTACGATGGGTTTTTCATCTGATGAAGAGCCTGAGATCAGCGAGTAAGATATTAATGATTATTTTTAGGATTTATGTGTTTTTGAAAGACGATGTTTAGGGTTTATGTGATCTCCAGGGTAAGATCAGGAATATATATATATATATATATATATATATAGGAGAGGATGAGTAAAGGAAGCAGTTAGATTCAATGAATAAATTGTTTTTCGAGTAGTCGTGTTTCAATGAATTTTATAATCCCATTTTAAATAGATTAATGATAATAACCAACGCCTCAATTTTCCTTTAATACCCCACTACTTATTTCATTTTTTTCATTTCATTTAATTCATTTTAACATCTATTTATTCTCGACTTGTCAGAAACCGCTTACTTATCATTCATTTCCAACCTTTCATTTCCTTTTAGAAAAAACCGCTTACTTATCATTCTCGATATGAAACCCTAAGATCGTACAGAAAGTGGTTGATGAGAAGATGAGCTACTTAGGAGACTGAGCGAAAATTTGGAGGAAAAATCCAAACACCAACCTCCTAAGTTGTTTATCTTTTTCATCCACCACTTCCTGCACCATCTTAGTAAGGATCCACTCAGATCGCCTTGTAATTCAGATAAATATTACAAAACTAATTCTTTAATATGTGAAATAACCATACAATATGAAAAGACCCTAAAAAATAAAATTCGTTATAATTGTTTACATGGGGTTAATTCGTCTAGGACAAATTTATTTAAGAAATTATAAGTTCTGGTACAATTTGGTATAATAAGGCCCAACTATGTTCAACTTGGAGAAATTTAAATCTCTGGTGAAAATTGGTATAATTCAGCCCAACTACGTGTAACTATGGTAACCCATAAAATCTAGTACTATTTGGTATAATTCAGGCCAACTACGTGTAACTTTGGTAAACCATAAAATCTGGTACTATTTGGTATAATTCGGGCCAATTACGTGTAACTTTGGGAACCCATAAAATCTGGTACTATTTGGTATAATTCGGCCCAACTACGTGTAACTTTGAGAACCCTTAAAATCTGGTACTAATTGGTATAATTCGGCCCAACTACGTGTAACTTTGGGAACCCATAAAATCTGGTACTAATTGGTATAATTCGGTCCAACTACGTGCAAATTATTTAAATTATAATAAGTAGTACAAATTGGTATAATATAGCCCAACTAAGAGTACTTGTCAAACCATAACTCGGTAAAATTAAATTATCAGAAATTAAGGATAAGATAACTTCTTAGTCTGCGAATGAAACAATCTGGGAATTAAACAAGGATTCATTAAACAACGGGATTGTTAAAGAACTGTATCAGTTCTACACATTAAACCCTAAACCCGCCAATACACCTTTCAGCTTTGCAATCTCTTCAGCATTGTTGTTCAGCTCCATGCGCATTTGCTTGATTTGAAATTCATGGTTTGACATTTTCACAATCCTCGAGCGCAGATCCTTAATCTCACATTTTAGCCTAGAAATCTCATCATCGACAGCGTGATCCCATTTTACCCTAAAGTGGTAGCCGTCGTTCTACACAACAATTCATAAACTTAAACATTATACACTCAACCCAGAAATTTTAAATCAATCTAAAACCAGAAAATTAAAGTAATTCAAACCTGATACACTTTGCAGGTGTAGTATCTCTTTCCTGGATCTTCAGAAATCTCCTGGATGATTCCTCCACCACATGGACAAACTGTTGGAATCTCAAACTCTGCATCGGCTACGTGGTAAAGGCGGTCGATAAGCTTCTTGTTTCTCTTCTCATCGCTGTAGGTCGGGTCCATAGTCGCTGTAGCAAAGGTAGTTCACAAATTTGAAAAAGTGAGAGGAATGTCCCAAGAGAGAGACATAATAGAAATATGTGAAATGAAATTCAAAATGGGGGGAAGTGGGGGGGAAGTTTGAATTTTGCTGAATTTGGGTATTGGGGGGAAATTCAAATTTGAATTATATTACAACTGAGAAAAAGGGAAATATAATATTAAGTATTACACACATAAAATGGGGTCGTCCCTCACGTGTGGAATTCACTCATGTGCCACCGCCAATAGCTAATATCCAATAACGCGTGGACACATGTCATTTCTTCATATGAGGTACGTAGTATGACAGTTATACACACTCTCAAGTAGTTGTACATTTCCGATTTTAACCAAAAAACTAGTTTTACTTATATTAAATATGTAATTATGTAGTTAAACTTTTCACAAGTACTACTAAATTTGTTGCCCCATCATGTTCATGTAATCAGATTTCGTTTTCACTTTTATACGTTCTGTTTGATGCCTTATGTGGTTACTCATCGTGAACTCTTCATAGAACTATGATGTGTATTATGAGAAAACTTGTTTCAAAGTTCAAAGATTTATAAATTGCTTATTTTGGCTAGTTTAAATGTTAATCATAACATAACTATGCATACAATCTACGAGAATGTAATCGATTTCATATAATTTGGTGTATATGAAATCGATTTCATGGTTATTGTATTTTGAGATTGGTTTACCGAACCGATAAATACCACAACATAGAACCCAAACAGAATGTATTTATATATTTTAATGATATATTAACTGAGAATGTCTGAAAAAGGTCATGTCTGATAAAGGTATAGTCATCTACTCCACTTACGGTGTCTAGCCCACAACCCTTATCTGATAAAGTAAAAAGTAACTGATTGTAACTGATACGCGTCTATTTCTCACGGAAGCTCATTTTCCGATGAAATGAAACAGAACATTCTCACTGGTTTTCCATAATTGTTAGAAAAGCCTTGCACACATAGAGTTTTCTTTATTTTTAGGACGAGAGAACAAGCAAACCCAAAACCAAGAGCTGAAAATAGTTGAACATAGTTGTACCAAGTTATTCATACCATTACAAATTAAAATGGTTAACTATTGTGAGAACATAGTTGTAACGTTTTTCTCCGGAAATTCTTTTTTTTTCCTTCTAACAATGCTTCTGATTTTTTATATATTTATTTTTTTATCCATTACAAATTTGTAATAGGTTTTGTTATTTCACCACATTTCAAATTTCAAATACATATTCAAATCCATATTTGAAGATATCTCTCTCTCTCTCTCTCTCTCTCTCTATCTATACAAATTTCAAAACCCTCTCTTTTAAGATTTCGTCAGAATGACAAACAACGTGCTTTTCCAGCTACGCGATGTGTTGATTGATATATTCTTAAGGGTAGGGAGAGAGTCTGCTGCTGATGCTGTTTCATTTGGTTGTACAGCGAAGTTTCTAAGCCAGATATTGAAAGATCCAGAAGTCATCAAGGTGTTGAACCTGTCTGAATTCGTTAAGCACCCCCGTTTAATTGCTCGCTCCCCGGACTTCTTTGAGTCGGCGGTCAGTCATGGTAATCCATAGGCCTTGTACCTTCATGGCATGAGCCGGATGATTCTCGATGTTGAGATCGACAATTCGGTGCCTTTTTTTAACCGGGCCTCTAAGGCGGGAATTGATGCGGTGACAGTAATGATGGCAATCTGCGCAACCGCATATGGTTTCTATCCAAGGGGCCTGGAAATCGTAGACCGTATCGATGGTTGAAAATCATGGATGATGTACATGGAAGAACTGGGGGATCAAATAATGAACACTATGTTGATAATGGTGAATGATGGTTTTCAATATCTGCCAGCAGTCTTGACCGATTTTCCTGCATGTCGATTCCAGCACTACAACAAGTGCTGTGAGCTCTGCTTCCTCTACATGCATTACCAATGTGCGAAGAATTTACTACTTCTGTAACTGACTACTAGCTGGGAATGGCTACATATCCGTTGGAACTAGTTATGTTTGTGTTAGTTGATTAGTTAAAAACTCCGTATTATGCTTGTAGTGAATGTCAACTTCTTTTTACTATGAACTAATTTTCTATTGTTGTTTAGTATGAACTGTTTAGTCAACTCCGTATTACTATGAACTATTTGAATTACTATGAAATAAAACATAGCATTCTCACGTAGTTGTACCAATTTATTCTCACATAGTTGTACCAATTTATTAATAAGCTTACAGATTAAAATTGTCATCTGTCCTGAGTACTAGATCCACCCTGAGTATTACCCTCAGGATTACTGGCATTGAAATATTGCCACCAGCCTCCACCATGAGTATTACCATGCGCATTCCCTTCAGGATTACTGGCATTGAAATTTGGATCCCTGCCTTCATTCCCCTGAGTATTACCATTAGCATTCCTGACTCCATCCTCAGTATTACCCTGCCTTTTCTTACGCTTATTACTTGGCCTTGGCCCACGCTCTCCAACCGATGCAAGTCTTCTCTGTTGCCTTCTTCCAGCTTTTTTCGGGACCTCAGGTGGTTTTGGGGCAGTCTTCTTTTCGATATCATCTGGAATTACCCATTGTGAACGATGAGGAACAGGGTATATCGTCCTGGCATATGCAAGTGCCCACAATTCCGTAGTATAATACTTCGAGCACAAATCATACGAGTGGATGTCCTCACTTCTATCTTCCCTGGCCATAAAAATTCTCACTGCGGCAAGTGCATGGACGCAAGGATACTTGTCTATATCAAACCATCTGCATGAACAAGATTTAGTTTTCAAGTTCATCAGATAAGTCTTCCCATCTCCACTGACCACAGCGTATTTAAGCAGAAACGAGTTCAGCTCAGTCACATTTAGGGACTGAGCAATTTCAACTCTCCCGTGTAAGACATTTTCGACATAGGGAACCAGGCAGCGTCTTTCCTATGTTTGTTACACCACTCAGATACCTTTGACAAGATGGCATCCATCATAGGTAATAATGCATGCTTCCTCGCATAATCAAACACGCTGTTCATAGACTCTACATAGTTACTAGTGTCGATGTTGTACCTTTCTCCCGGAAAATAGCACCTTGCCCATTTTTCCTCAAGCAAACTATTACATAAATACGTAATTGCATCCGGATACTTTTCTTCCAGTTGACCATAAGCCACAAGAAACTCAGCCTTTGTATACTTCCTCGCAACTTCCATGAACTTGCCTACAACTAATTCTTTCTCTCTCCGAACGTTCTTTTTCACATTCTGGGCCAAATGATAAATGCAATAACCATGCTTAGCTTACGGGTACACATCCCTTATTGCATTGATCAGGCTTACATTTCTGTCAGAAACAAACACCAATTCAGAACTGTCAGGTATACGGGTTTTAAGTTTAGTGAAGAACCAGTTCCAACTATCATTATTTTCCCCATCAACTACCCCAAAAGAGAGGAGATAATGGTGATGATTCGGATCCTGAGTTGTTGCAAATACAAGGCATCCACCAAATCCATTCTTCAAAAAAGTTGCATCAACAATTATCACTTTCCTCATTGCCGCAAACCCTTCTATGGTAGGACCCAGAGCGACGAATAGGTACTTAAATCTACCTAACTCATCCACTTCAACACTTGATGTCGTACCAGGATTAAACTGCTCTATCATGTACAAATACGAATGCAGATGCTCGAAACTCTCTTCTGGAGTACCACGAACATAACTTATAGCTTTCTGTCTGCCTCTCCATGTCGTAGAGTATGATACCTTCACACGACCTCTAGTTTGAACCAAAGCCATGATATCTCTAGGAGGTGGTGGTTTTAATCGACCTGGGTAAGTTTTACTAACAACGCCTGCAACTAATCCAGGTGTGCATTTCTTTCGTTTGCTGCTAGTACACGCAGAAGCCCGAGAGCAGGAATGCATTTTCCTATATACTCTAACCGTGAAAATATGTGACTGAGCTGTCTTAGCGGTATTTATATACCAGTTACATCCAGTTTCAGCTTGACCGCATTTCACATAGTATCGTTTCTTATCAGACTTGTGTCAGTGATGCCAAAACAATGTTTATGAGAATCCCTTTAAACTAAATCTATTAGCTCCTGCTTACAGCTAAACTCTGCACCAACTCTCAGTTTCAAACCGTCTGCCCATTCACGTTGAATACGTTGTTCTTCTACACAGTCTGGAGGATCAACAATATCAAGCATTCCATATGTTTTACTTATGTCATCTTGATCTCCACCGTTTTCCTCATTCTCACGAGATAGATTAACACCTTCGTCATTCCCCATTACTGGCACATGTTGTTGTTATGTTGAACCGTTTCCTGTGTACATAACAATAGCACCATCATTAAACTCAGCATTGCCGACAAAAACGCCATCACTCGCTATATCATTAGCTGCGCTCACCTCCTTGACATTCATAACAACAGGACTTACCCTCTTTACACGTGAAACTTGCTCGGCCACCTCAGACACTCCATCTACATTGATGACCTCTACATACAAGACACTTCTGCGTCCCTCATTATCAAACGACGTCAGATAGATACCGAGATCATCGTCATCCAAAATATACCACTGTTTCTTCGTTTGCACTAGTACCGGAATATAACTCAGTTTCAACTTTGTGGATGATTCTCCTATCCCAACCTTCTTGCATATCCTACCCACTAAATCAGAATAGCTTATTTCCTCTAAGCCTGATGTCTTAAACATTATACCGTACATGGAACCTTCTCTTGAAATCCATTTATCATCGATACATGAATAATGTCCTCCATATTCAAACAATATGTTTGTTATCATTGTGTTCTGAAAAAAAAAAATATATACTTACCTCATTAATACCAATTGTTCCGAGTATTAATACCAATTGTTCCGAGTTATACGAAAACTCCTACTATAACCAAATTGTCTCCCAGTTATCCTGAATCGGCGAATTTGGTGTACAAACTAAATCTCATTACGATTAAACCTCACCAGTCAATTAAAAGAGCATATGCGACCCAATGTGAATATAAAAATTAACTCTCCCCATTCTGAATTGCCCTATTTTTTAAATCAAAATTATATCCAAAACCCAATTGTTCCTGGGCTTCCAATCATTTAGCGACTTCACAAGAAAATACAGACGCCGAGGATGAAGAAAAACTTACCTCGTCCTTCGGCGTTGGAATGGAAGAGTAAAAGCCCCGTCGAATTTCCCGAAGAGAGGAGATGTTGCATGCAAACGAAACGATGCAAACGCCAGTTTTCAGCACACCCAGGAAAGTAGAATAAGACCAAGATCGACCTGATTTCTGATTGGCTTAAAATTTGGTCCGAAATGTTTTAATTGGCTGAAACTTCCCTATTTCCTATTGGTTGACATTTCCTTCCAGCACTTTTGATTGGTTGAAATAAACACTTTTGGTTGGTTGAAATTATCAAGAATTCCAATTATTTATTTTAGTTATTGCCCGACCAATATGGGGACTGGACTTCTTGTTGGGCTTTTCCATTAATGGAATTGTCGAGAAAAAAGGCAATATGGGGATAACAAGTTTCATTGAAATGTTTTTATTGGCTGAAATCTCGTTTTTTCTTATTGGTCGACAATTCCCACCAAGACTTATGATTGGCTGAACATTCTTAATTCTCATTGGTCGATTATTCATTTTCCTAATTCACAGTTAAGGGTAATATGAGGATAACACATTTCATTAAAAGAAAGGAGACTACCGTTGGTATGAGAGAATAACTTGGGCAGGGTAGAATAAATCAATACTACTTACTGGTAGACGAGAATTTCTTCCATTTTTTCTATTTTTTCATATTTTTAATTTAACAAAATAATTAATTTTTTAAAATAACATAAAATCAGTATAAGTAAAACTTTGCGTTTTAAAATCTGTTACCGATATAAGATCTATTTGATGGAGGGGTTATATTGCGGGTGACTTTGTAGGTGATAAAATTGACTTGCATTTTTTTAGAGTTGATTGATATTCTTATAAAAAAATAAAGGTTATGGATTTTTTTTTTGCATTAAATCCTTAAAATAAAAAACAAAAAAGAACTTCCAGATGGTAACCTAAGAAATTAATAGACAAACCCAAAAACAACGCATTGACTTTTGTTAAACAAAAAAAAAACGCATTGACTTTTGTGATAGGAACTACGAAATAGAAACCAGAACCCTCTCTCTCTTTCCTAAATGTTAATATTCTTTTGTTACATAAGTTATTTAATTGTATTTTGCATCTACGCGATGTTATGATTTGATATATACGTATATAGGCTAATTAATTTGTATGTTTTGGAATGTTTAGTGACTATAATGATACTTATTGGATCACTGAGGACATCTCTCATTTAAAATTTAAAGAGAGCGAGGTAAAAAATAGTACGCAATGTCTTTTTTTTTTTTCTGAAACAATATTTTATTAAATTGAAGAAACAAAGTCATGATACAATGTTTTTGTTAGCCAATGTGGAGGATAAATACAATCCGAAAAAAATATACTGTTTGGAGGTCCATTACGAGATAAAATATGTGCTACCGTATTGCCGTTACGTCGAACATGGGAGAATTCGATATGTGCGAACTTTCTTTTCCAAGATGTTATATCGTCAAGAAGGTTTAGAATTGTTATGTCTTCTAGTTGTCCCTTTGATATTTTAACCAACATCTCATTATCTCCTTCAAAAACGACCGAATCAAATCCTTTTGCCCACACACTTTGTATAGAAAACAATAGTGCTTTGCCCTCTGCCTCTAATACTGAAGTTGCAGTCCCCAAATTAGCTGAACCCCAAAACTGAGCTACTCCTTGGTGATTACGAACTATCCACCCACCTATTACCCGTCTTGACCCTGGATCAAAGGCAGCATCATAATTGCATTTAAGCTTACCTAAATCTGGACGACTCCAACTAGATGTCGACGATGACTGATGTCGTTGGTTTGCTTGATCTTTTTCCGTTGCACTAATCCATTCAGTGACATCTGCATTTGATTGATCGACATCTCTCTTCCGGTTGACTCTTTCCTTATTAAAAATCAAGTTATTTCGTGATTTCCAGATCCTCCACATAATCCACCAAGGAAGAAGTTTTTGTTGATTAGTTAATCCGTGAGCACTTTGTAGGTCCATAATGTATTTGATATTTTCGTCCTCATCCTGTGAAGGAGAAAACAGACAAGGGTATGGTAATTTTGAAAGCCTCCAAGTTGACATCGATAGTGGACAAGTGAATAACATGTGATTAATAGTTTCTGCCTCAATGCAACATCTTTGGCAAGTCTGATCCATTCGCACTCCTCTCATATTTAGTCGTGTCGCTGTTCCTAATGATTTGGTTAGAATTCGCCACAGATAATGCTTTAATTTTGGCATTATTGGTAAATTCCAAACTTTTAATTTTAGAAAGCGGTCGCCGTTTGGAGGTGGTGGAGCTTGAATGACGAATTCCGGATTGTGTCGTGCTAGCCAATACCCTGAAGAGACGGAGTAGATTCCGTTTTTGGTATAGTTCCACTTAATTCTATCAGTTGAAGATCGTTGTGCCAAATACAGAGATTTAGCGAGATCTCTGTCTTCATTATTGAGGGCCAGATTCATGGCATCCTCATTCCATGATCTTACGTATCCATTACTGTGGATTAATTCAGTAACCATGGTTTCAGTGGCGATTCCTCTCACTGCTGCAGGCCTTGGAGGATCTGTTGGTAGCCAATTGTCATAAAAAATTCTTGTTGAATGACCGTCTCCAATGATGTATCGTGAGCCTTTTTTTAACAATGAAACCCCTTCTAATATTGAAGCCCAGCCAAAAGATTGATATGGTTTAGCTTTTGCATCAAATAGATGGTGGTCTCTAAAATATCGAGCTTTGTAAAGTCTAGAGAATAAACAATCTGGCTGAGTTAGTAATCTCCAAGCCTGCTTAGCCAAAAGAGCGTCAGTGAATTTTTCCAAATCTCTAAAGCCCATTCCTCCTTCTCCTTTTGTATATTGCATTCGTTTCTATGCAATCTATGGAATACCATTCTGCTGTGGCCCTTTTTCCCACCAAAAACGCATCAGAATGCGTTCCAACTCCGTTGTCACTTGTTTCGGTAATTTAAAACAAGACATAGAATAGACGGGCATCGAAATTCCAACAGACTTGATCAAGACTTCTTTTCCGGCCTGTGACAGGAAACCTGCACTCCAACCTGAAGTGCGTTCTTTAACTTTGGTGATGATGGTATTAAACATTTCTTTTTTCTTTCTTCCAAACTGCTTTGGTAATCCCAAGTACTTCCCACCTCCTCCATGGTTCGGAATATCTAATATCCGCTTCAGTCTCTCTTGTTTTTCCCCAGGAATGCGAGACCCGAATGTTATCATTGATTTTTCTTGGTTGATCTTCTATCCAGAACATAGCTCATAAACCCGAAAGACTTCCTTAATAGCCGCACAATTTTTCTGGTTTGCGATACAAAAGAATAGTGAATCATCAGCAAAGAGCAGGTGAGTAATCGCTGGGACACCATTGCCTACTTTGATTCCAATTATTCTCTTTTTTCTAACATTGACGTCTAACAAATGGCTCATTACATCGGCACATAAAATAAAGAGATAAGGAGAGAGAGGATCTCCTTGTCTCAATCCTTTTTCCGGTACAATGTGCCCTTGTGGATTACCATTTATTAATACTGAGTATGTTACCGATCGGACAGTTCCCATAATCCAATTAATTTATTGATTTGAAAAACCAAAAGCTCGCATTGTTTTCTCCAAAAAATTCCATTCAACCCGATTATAAGCCTTGTTCATGTCTGTCTTAATAGCCATATAAGTTTGAGACACCCTTTTTCGAGATTTCAGAGAGTGCATTAATTCATGCGCTATCAAGACATTATCTGATATAAGTCGACCTGGTATAAAGACAGCTTATGATTCAGAGACAATCACATCCAGGAACGACTTCAACCTTTTGACTAAGAGCTTGGAAACAATTTTGTATAATACATTACATAATGCAATCGGTCTGTAGTCCGATAATGTAGCAGGTTTATCAATTTTAGGGATCATATAAATATTTGTATGATTTACCCCTTCTTTGAAATTACCCGTACTAAAGAAAGATCGCACTTCCTTTATGACCTCTTTACCAACAATCTCCCAGCATTCTTGATAAAATCTTGCAGTTAAACCATCGGATCCTGGTGCTTTATCCGCTCCAATATCACAAACAGCTTCATAAATTTCCGCATTAGAAAATTCTCTTGTTATTTGCCGGTTAATATCAGCTGTTACTGATGGTTTGAACTCAGAAAAAATGGAAGTCAAGACATGGTTATTGTCACTGCGTAGATGTTTTGAAAGTATTCTTCCGCATGTTTTCCAATGGCAAAATCTCCCCTATATTCCATTCCATTATTATCTTTGATCATATGAATTCGATTCCTGGAGTAACGAGCCTTTGTACAAGCTTGGAAGAACCGTGTATTTATATCACCCTCGGTTAGCCATAAATTCCTACTTTTCTGCTTCTAGTACAACTCTTCATCTCTATATGCGCTAGTTAATTCCTGACGAAGACGAGGAATGGATTTGCGGATTTGTCCAGAAGAAGAAGAAGCTATATCCAATTCTATTTGTAGGTCTTCAATACGTTTAGCTGAATTCAACTTTGAGTTTTTACGGCAACGCGCCATAGAAATACGGCATTCTCGTATTCGATCTGTAATGGTGTGGTGTCGTCTTAAACGATGGGAGTGCCAGCCATCATATACATACTCCTTAAACTCCTTAACTTGTAACAGCCGTTTATCAAAACGAAACTGTTTTCTTTGAACTTCACCAACAAAAGCTACAGATGTAATAACCGGTCTATGATCAGAACCATAAAGCCGTAAAAATTTTGCCTCAGAAGCTGGAAATTTTGCAAGCCATTCAGAATTTACGATCACCCGATCCAAACAACACTTTACTGTATGTCTTCCTCGTTGTCCAACCCATGAGAAACGGTCGCCCTTGTAACGTAAATCTGAGAAATCGCAAGAGCTATACATGTTTCAGAAGTCTAAAAACGTCCATTCATCTCTTTGAGGGCTTCCTTGTAATTCCTTATTCGAAAGAAAATTAGGGCATGTTTATCGGGAGATCTTAGGTTCGTCTTTTAAAATTTTTGGGCCAAAAAAAATAAAATAAAAAATGAGTTTTAAGCGAGAAACGTTTCTTATTTCGCTTCCGGTAGAAACGTCTCTAGCCGCCACATATTGGATTGTGATTGGATGATGAAATCGCGACCTAATTTTTTTTGTTTCCTTTCTCTTTTTTTTTTTTCCTTTTTTTTTAATATAATATAAAAACGCGATCCAAACCAGAGATCAACTAAATTTACAATCGAAGTAAACCAAAAGTGCAAAAAAATACAAAACTAAACTCGGTTTAACCGAAATCACTACACTAGTACACCGATTAGGTCAAGTCAATTTAAAACGCTCAAAGACGGCGACGCCGACACTAGCGTCCCAGCAGAAACGCCAACCACACCGGAGAAGATACACAGACGAACCGGAGGATTTCGCCGGCAAGAATCCTTACTCAACCATCAAAACCGGAACCAACAAGCAACATCGACAAACCATCTCAAAGCTTAATCCTCAATCCGGCCAACGGTGGATGCCACAACAACCGGATCGTTAGGGCCAAAACCCACAGCCACCGTCGCTTAAGTCGAATTACCAACTCCCACGAAACCACCGTCGGCTTGCAGTGGTATCCCTCCGAATCACCTCCTCGATTTCCGCTGCATCACCGCATCTAGTACGACACCGACAGATCTTTGTCTCCTTTCCCCTGTACTCCCACCGCCGTCCTCGGGCGCACGGAGCTTCAGAGTAATCGTGAGACATCTCGCTTTCTTCAGATCCTCTCCACCGCCCCCAAGCAGAGAGTGAACGAGTAGTCGCGAAGGATCCGCTCCACGCCGCGCACTGCCAGAGAGAAAGAAGCCGAGCCTCTTGATTCACCTCGATCAACCAGCCAGATAAAGCTCAAACAAACAGAGAAGAAAAGAAAGAAAGAAAAACGAAGATGAGGAGACAGCGGCTACGGCGAACAAAGAGAGAGAGGAACGATTCTCTTTTCTCTTTCTTACTCGACAAAATCTGTTTCGACTCTTCTTCTCCGAATCGCCTCACCGTGGCCTTCACCGATTCTCGCTCTTTTCGATCAAAGAGACGTCTGCCGGAGCTATATTGGGAGTAAGCGATTTCATCTCTGACTCCTCTCTCGTCGATTTGTTCTGTTATCTCCATCTCGGAGAATTTTCGATGGTTGTGGTTTGAGTGTGAGAATGGAAATGAAGGAGCTTGTGAGGTTGATATTGAGACTCAAATCTCGGAAACTGTCTCTGTAGGAGCACCTCGTTCTGAAACTGATTCTGATGAGTACTCGGATAGTGCAGAGATGGTTCAGAGGCTTTCAGAAGCTGATCATGGAACTGAATTAAAAGAATCTGTTTTGGAGGAGACTCTAGTAGATGACTCTGTCAAAAAGATCCAAGAGACTTGTGAGGTTGATGATTACTCTGATAGTGCAGAGATGGTGATGTTCTCAGAAGGAGATCATGGAATTGAATTAAGAGAATCTGATTTGGAGGAGACTATAGTAGATGATGACTCCGTGAAAGAGATCCAAGAGACATGTGAGGTCGATGATAACTCTGTTTGTGCAGAGATGGTGAGGTTTTTAGAAGGTGATCATGACATCAAGTTAAAAGAATCTGACTTGGAGGAGACTCTGACAGGTGACTCTCTGAAAGAGATCCAAGAGAAAGCAAATAGAGATGATGAAGTTGTCTTTATGATGAAGAACTCAGAAGCAGATGAAGAGACACTAAAGGATAAAGCTGAAGATTACAAAGAGGAGTCTCAGGACCGAAATGAAGATGTATCAATGATAGAGGAAACTGCAAAGGTTCCACTTAAGGAAGAAGAGTCAAGTGTCACCATTTCATGGACTGTCAGATGCAAGAAACCCGTTGCAGAGACGGAGGCCTTGAGGGGATTCAACCCAAGAGAACCCAATTACCATGTGAAGGTGTGTTTTTTTCATGTGAATAATGCAAGTTGTTGATAAAAGATTAAATCATGTGAAGGAGAGTTGACCTTCGTGTAGATTAAAGATTATTCCCTTGACCTTCAAACCTGCAAGTAATTGACAAAATGCCCTTATGACTCAGCTAATAAACCAAATCTGTTGCAAGTTCTGCTTATGAATACCTTTATGCAGGTCAAGGGATGATTGAAGCCCTTTAGACAACTTTTTTTAAGGGTTTCTCCAATGTACCTGAAAAAACAGAATTTCTTAGTAAATCTCTTAACTTAACAATATTAGTTTAATAATCTTTTTTTTTTTGTCGTCAAACTGCTTCATTACATAAAACATTACATCAACCAGCGGATTACATAATTTTGCAAACTATATCTAGCTTTTGTTTAGCTAGACGATCAGCACAATCATTTGCTATTCTATTAATCTGCACGAAAGAAAAGCCACAAACTTGAGATATCTTTAATATATTCTGAACATATATTCCCATATGATGCTGTTTCCAATGCTGTGGGTTCCTTTCAAACCGATTATGCTGTAATACTCCATATATGTCTTGCACATCTCCACAAAGAGTAACACAAGCATATCCAAGTTTTCGCAGATTAACAACAGCCAAACGTAAGGCTTCAACTTCAGCTTCCAATGAAGAAGATGTAGGGAAAATTGCTCCTAAGCCTTGCAGAATCTGCCTTCCTTGTTTATTATATAAAATCCAGGCAACACCTGCTAATTGTGTCGGTGATATCCAAGAAGCATCAATAAAACAACAATATTGATCTGCAGCAGTGATTGCTTCTTGACGAGATGTGGGTACATTTGTAGAGCCTGTAAATATTCTCACACCTGAAGCTTGTTGTGCTCGTTGCAGATCAACTTTGGTTTTCTCCAATGCTTAATAATCCTTAAGAAACATACATAGGTTTCTCGAATAAACATGGCCTGTGTTGAAATTAGATGTCTCAAAAGTCAACGAGATGCGTAAGCATCATTTGTTAGACATTTTATTTTTTCTTTTATATATAATTTTTCTTTTTTGGGGTGAATAATTATATGACAACTAAGAATATTTTAGATTACATGTGAGTATGTTGTAAGTGCAAGATTGACTGAAGTATAACACTTTTTAGACGACGGAGCCGGTAAGGAAGAGCAGTGGTTTGCACTCTTATGGGAAATAGTTGTAAATTTCTTCAATGCTTTCACTCATGAAATTAAAGTTTTTAAATGGATCTAGTAGTTGTAAAACACCCGAATCCTAATGTAGTTAATAGAATGCAAACCATCATTGTGTCGTCTTTTATGATCTTAAGATCCTTAATATTAGTATGAAATTGATTCTTAATAATAGGTTACCTAAAAAGAAGAATTAATTTTATAATGTTAATTGAATTAGTATTTGTCCCCTTAATACGTTTATATTTTGATCACTTTTTAACATTGTTATCCTTTTAAGGAAAAAAGGCCGATTAGTACCTCAACACCATCATTTGGTACCAATAAATACCCAAACAATTTTGATAGGTTAATCAGTACCTGAACTTATTAAAATCGGTAAATACATACCTCAACAATATTTATGTCTGTTAGTCAAACATGTTAACTTGCAAACGGAATCCGACTTGGATACCACCGTGGATGCTCTATTCGAATGAAACCAATACGACACCGTTTAAGGTTAAAAATCTGGAAAAAAAAGACAAAAACGACGTCATTTTAAATTTATTATCCATTAAAAAAAAATACACCATCTATATCTTCTTTCGTTGGAGAAAAACATTGATAGTTAGGATTTGGGTGGTGTTCAAAATCAAATCGGAATGACTTCATCGTCGAATGCTAACGCTTCTTCGGAGATTCATGGTAGGTTTAGGTTTGCAATTTTGGTATTAATTTTTGATTCAAACACTTTCGGAAAATCAAATCGAAAATTTCAATTTTGATTTTTTTAATGTATAATAAATTTAAAACGACGTAGTTTTTGTCTTTTTCCCCTGATTTTTAACTTTAAATGACGTCGTATTGGTTTCATTCGAACAAAACATCCACCGTGGCATCTGAGTTGGATTCCATTTGCAAATTAACGGGTTTGACTAACAGAGAGAAAGTCAATGTACTAATTGGCCAAAAAACATTATTGAAGTATGTATTTACCGATTTTAATAAGTTTAGGTACTGATTAACCTATCAAAATTGTTTGGGTATTTATTGGTACCAGATGATGGTGTTGAGGTACTAATCGGCCTTTTTCCCTTCCTTTTAAATCAGTTATGATAGTTATAATTAAAATTAAATCCAAAACTATTTAAAAAAAATCAAAAATTCCAAAATAAGAAAGAAAAATATTTTTGGATATCATTTAAAAAATATATATTTAAAAAATATTTTAAAAATTTGTTCTATGCATAGCAGAACACATGTTCCACGTTCTACATCTACGTAAAATCTCATTTTTATAGTTCTTTATATTTTCTACTAGGCTGTAAAATTCGTTTTCTACAGGCTTTTTATATTCTATATTATGATAGATTACATGTTCTAGCAGGTAGAATATATTTTACGTGTTGGTAAAATATAATTTTTATTGAATAGAAAAGGTTCTACGTTGTTGTAAAACATTAAGTCTAGACCAAGTTCCACATTAATATAGAATAGTTCTTCTATATATGGTTTTCATTCTATATGTTGGTAGAATATAACTTCTACCAAAATCTGAAAAAATTTAGAAAAAATAGTTAACTCCCAGATTTATATATTTTTTGAAAATCTTTTTTTTTTCTTCATATTTTTCTCTATGTTTTTGGCTTTTTTGTTTTTTTGGACTTCATCGTTTTTTTCTTCTTCTTCTTCCTATTCATCAAGAAGATTTTCTCTAAGTTTACATATCTTTTGCTTCAAACATGCTAAATATCTATGTCACTTGTGGTTTATGAAAATCATGACAGATAAGAAGTGGATTTTTGTTGCTGATGAATCAATTGAGTATTTATAAACCCTAAATTCGAAACTGAATGATAATAACGAAAGAAATAGTGAACGAAGAAGACTGTCGGAGGAGAAAGAGGAATATAAAACATTTTTATTTACCGGAAATTGATTTTCCACAGATTTTAATGGCAGAAGAAATATCAGTCCGGCGATTCGGTGAAGACTGAGTCGATGGAGGAGAAAGAGAAAGAGATTATGTTGATGAGAACTATGTAAAATCTTTTTTCTACTGTTTTTTTTAATAAAATATTATTATATATAATAATTTAACTAATTAAATAATTTGAAATTAATGGAAATAATTGGAATAAATTTCAATATAACATTATAAGGACAAATTGAAAAAAAACATTAAGAGGATAATTCCTAAATTAATTAGCATTATAAAACTAATTCTCCCTAAAAATATTAATATTTTTACTGTTTTATAATAGCAAATAGATTTCTGAAACAAGATGGAAATTCAATAATACAGAGCATTTCAATTATTGCCAACTGCGAGGCCTCACAAGTTATCGTGGATATACATGCATGGTTTCAGGTGGTTTATGCTTATTGTTTTCACGGAGATGTTGTTATTTGTTGCTTACATAAGACCTCAGGTTTAGGAAAGTCTTTCGAGGATTAGGAGTTTAGGACACACCCAACTACGTGTTTTCGGCATTTTCATGGCTTATATTAGGCGCAGAGATTTGGTAGCAATTAGCAAAGACATCAAGTTTCTGAAGATTTAAGCGTTGACAAAACTTTTTACCATACAACTAATTATAATCTTTCTGATTCATTTTATAAGATGTTTAAGTTGCTATGCAAATGTTAAATTTATTTGAAAATTTGTAATCATTTATATTTTGGAATCAACTTCATGATTAATTGATATATATTTTTTTTAAAGTCAGATATTTTTTTAGTTATATAGAATAAATATATATGACATGATAATTTCTGCGATTTTTAGTTAAAAAACAAAGTTTTAAGAAATATGGACGTTTTGAGTCAACTGATTAACTCTTGTAGTACACCTAATATCTTAATGGTGCGAGCTCTTAAGTGAAGGCATAGATGAAGTTTTATTTGAACTAGATTTTGCATCCATGTTACGTGTAGGTATTTTGTTGATAAAAATAATATGCAATTAATTATTTTTATTAATATATAAATTTTATATATATTAGTGTTTTAATAATATATTAAAATATTATAATGTTGATCTAATAATTTTTATATACATTGTAATATTTTAACGGTTTTGTTTTGAATCTATATGCAGTATATCATATTTCAAAAATATATTATTTAGTCAAACACTTATAATTTAATATACCAAAACCAACTAAAATTTTTACAACTTAATCAAATGTTACTTTTTAAACATAGTATCATCATATATATTATAAGCGAAGTAAAAATTTGATTTAAAACTCTCTCATTGAATTTCAGAGTGGCTAATTACCCTTTACCCCTTCGTAAAATTATTTTTAATTTAAAAAATAATAAAAAATACAAAAATTGTTTTAACTAAAATCACGATTATAATATAGGCTGTAATAATATTAAATCAAATTAAAAACATGATTTTATCTCAATCTGATCAAAATCTACGATTTTATCAAATCAAAAATCACAATTTTATAACTAAAATCACAATTTTTTAAAACAAAAATAAAAAAAACGAAATTAATTTTATTTAAATTAATTTTTATAAAAAAATATTAAAAATCAAAAATCATCATATATAATTATGTTACTCCATAAATTTAAATTAATTTTTATAAAAAATAATTAAAATCGACAATCATCATATATAATTATGTTACTCCATAAATATTTAAGTAAATCTTACTTAATAGATACTTAGATATTGTTTTCTTTTAAAAAAAAATATTTAGATAAATTATAAAAAAACATTAAAAAATGAAAAATCATCATATATAATTATGTTACTCCCTTAATCTTTAAAAAAGTCTTGGTAAATACTTAGATATTGTTTTTTAATAAACATATATATATATGAATTATCCGATTTGCATAAATTTTAAAGATTTTTCAACCAATTTTTTTTCTTCACTTACACAGTTGTAATGTTTGGCGATCATGTAAGCTATATATTTCGTGTGTTTTACATTAGTGATCTTGTGACTTCTTAAAAAAATAAGTTTTGTGCTGTTTAATTTTCTATTCGGTTGTTATTTTTGTTTTATATTCGTTTCTGTTAGCTCATGTAGATCTACATTTTTTTATATATGTTAGGTGATACCATGTGTCTTCCCTTTTATAGCTTTCATGAATATATTTTGTTCTGATGTATATTAGAAGTTGGATTCTATTTATATTTTATAAATTCTTCTTATTAATAATAGCGTTTGATGTTTTTTTTTTCTGTTTAGGAGGTGGTGTTTTAGCCAGAGCTATACCGAAGGGTAACATTTTATTTTCTTTTTTGTGCTTTAGGTTTAGATTTGTGATTTTTTTATTAACTATCATATTTATGTTTTATATATTAGCCAGTTTTGGTGCACTTTTCTTTCTCTTTTATTAGTTGGGCTGAGTCGAGCCTTTTTTTTGTTTATTGATTCTTATCTGTTTTAATTTTTTATTGTTTTTGTTTTTTCTTTCGTAGGTGCTCGCGTTTTATTGTTTCATCTTGCGATGCAACATATTTCATTTGCTGGTGATGAAGATCTAGATTATGGTCATGAACCGAACCAGTTCTCGGAGTCAGATAAGAGCGTTTTGTATGTTTTAAAAAATTATTACAAAAAGATTATGTATTCTGTTTTGTGGTGTGGGCTCTTGGTGACGATTCAGAATGGTGTATAGGACATACGATGTCGAAATCCCTCATGTCAATGAACGTGAGTTCACCTGATTCTTGTGAAGGTTGCTAAGCTGATTGAACTTTTGGAAGGTACATGAAACTTTAGAAGAACACGTACAAAAACACAGGTTTAATCATCT